AATAACGGTTTTGGGAATAAATCTAACCGTATCGTTTGACAACAGGAAGGTAGTAAGTTAAAACTCAGCCCAAACGTGACCTGATGGTGCGTTTCCGGAGCTGAAATCTGATTTTATTCAAACAACTTTAGGTGCTCGATGGATTAGTGCATCTGCTGAATATTTTGGCCTTAGGGACTAAGGAAACTGGTGAAAATACTACTGGCAATGTGCTGTTAGTAACTCAGAAAATCTAGGAAGTGAAAAAGCTGTCGATGATGAGACAACGTTCCAGCACGGAACTCCAAAATTCAAACTAGGTAGAGCCACAGACACCTACACTTTGAGTAGAACTATGTACGACACGTGTATTAGTTTCTTTTAGAGAACTCCCAGGTGTTCAGTATGGTATGTGTGGCATGCCGGTAAAAAAAAAACCGATAATAATTATGACAAAGTCGTTGATGTTGAAAATAAGCAGAACTGTGTGTTTTTATTAAAGTTGATCTCATTGTGATATAAAATTCGTTCTTGAAATAGGCATTTTACAGCATTTTCAATTCAACAAAAATGTTAAGGCTTGAACTATATTCAGTAAATTTCAGCGCAAGGTATGAACATATAATTCCGAATGTTTAAAGCATTCATTGCAAGTGCTATTGTAAAAAAAATTTAAAGCAAAATTTTAAATTTTCAAATTGGCTTTCACAGAAAACATGCAAATGGTCAGTTTAGAGTTTCAGGGGAAAACGACTTTTCTCAGAGTGCACATGAGCTAGTACCGACACCCCTAGAATATCCACATCCATAATCCTGAAAAGTCGGATACAACAAAAACACGCAAATAGAAAGAAAAAATAAAGCTACCTAACGAAGTTCATATTTTGAAAGAATCACACCGTCAAAAATAAAACAAGAGTACGCGTTCAAAGTGCATTTTTGCCCTGATCTAGTACTACTTACTTCCACCTTTATAAAATTTTAAAAGGGAAAATATTCCCGAAGCAACAAGGTGCAAAAGGCTATCTTCATTCAAATAACTGAATCCCGTGTCGTAATGTTTTATAGTAACTAAATAAACACGTTGGCATACTTTGATGTGGTTCTTGAGTTAAGGTACAATTTCGTTGGCAAGGAAGCCTTCAGCAAAACAGTAGATCATACTAATGCAATCATTCCAAGGATGCATTTTAGGGGGTTGAAATGGGACGGAATAGTCAACTACGTCTTAGTACCTTAAACGAAAAATCTATAGGTAGTTATCATCGAAACTTTTGAGTACAACAAAGCATGGGCGATGCGGTTCCTCTCGGCCCTATAAAGGCTTTCTTTAAGCACAACATGAAATGGTATGGAAAATTTCAAAAGACGAAAAAAATGAATGAAAAATAGGTTTCTGACAAACGGAATACAAAACAAATGGATACACGTATAGTGTATTTCAGAGGCGACTTACGGAACTAAATCTTACCACCACCTTAAAGGAAACCTGCCTGAAGGATAAAATCGCCATACGTGGAGCATGTGCCATTCTGTGCCGCTTTTCAAGGAGAGATCAGACTAGGTATTGGCAAATCAAAGAGAACGCTGCCGTATTCTTAATTTCAATCGTTTCCATGCTTTAAGCGGCGACAGGTAACGTAACGGAACGCATCGTCGATGCCTTCAAATAAAGCATCGATTATATAAAATCGGATACGGTAGTACAATTACTACAAGTGCATTGGCCTCGGAAACGTTGACTCCAATACTTAAGTAATAAAAATAAGCAACGTATGTAACATATCCAACACCAAAATAACCTTGTTCTACCTTATTCCATTTAGGAATAAATCAAGTCCTTGAATTTGTTAAATAGCTCGGCTTCACTAACTGATTCAACAATACTAAAAGCACATTCCACCCATGGCTAAATACAAGCGAAAAGCTTTTTCCTGGCGAAATCTTGCTGAAGTTCTTTCACTTTAGTGACTCATGGCTTTCAGAAGCACTCACCTGACAGAGAGCCCTGGATCTATGGAGTCATCTTTATATTTGCTTTGCTCGATTGTTTGGGTCATAATTTTATGCAAACATGACATTAAGAATATTAATTTGGTTCATCTTCTTAGACAATCGCACTAAAACTGCATCACCGTAGTAGGTTTTTTTGTTCGAGATGCACTTATACCATGTGGTGCACATACCGAACTGGAAGATGCTTGATCCTATTTATTGTTGCGGTAGGCCGCCAAAGGATATCCCAGCTTCTATGGCTAGTGGTCTAGTTCTTGTGAAGTTGAAACTTGGGAAGTTATAGCCAATTCCCAGAAACTTATATAATTTCTTAATCGCCACGATCCACTAATCAGTTGCAGTATTTTTGCGCTCACGACTGGGTTCCCTACAAATTAAAAATGCAGCGACCCAACCGAAATCATACTGACAAAACAATTTTTGTCTCAGAAAAGGCATCAAAACTAGTACAAAATAATCAGTCAAGCTTATATAGAAAAGAATACGAAAACGGTGGCATATTATTAGAGCCGTCATTTCAGAGGCTTTCACGTGGTATACAATACTTGCAGTGATTGAAACGAAAAGGCAACGTCATTAGCAAATATATGTTGAAGTTGGGAAATAAATAAATCTTCACATCTAAGTATAATGTACAAGATGATTATACACGCAATACCCAAGGGTCGATCTTATTAATCCCATTTGTCCAACATATTTTAGTGAAAAGGCCTTTAAGATTCATCGTTATAGCCAATTTGAGAAATAAAAACATAGTTTCAAAAATTGCAAGAATGTAAATAAAGTACTATCTTTTCTTCTGTCTTATAATGCAATTTACCACTATATAGGTACTATATAAAAAAACTGAACGAACTCTGGCTAATCTTATAGTCATTAAAATGAGAAAATACGGATGATGCTAAAAAATGCATATAAATGCATAAAAAATAGCAGAGGTATGCGTCTGTCGAAAGTACTAACCTTTCTAGTACCTTAATGTCGATCTTAACTTTTTTTTTCTTTAAAAAACCGTTTTAAATTGTACGAGCTCCAAAGAAAGTATTATTTGTTCTTATTATACACCCTAGTGTTTACAGTTCGACGTAATAGACTTACGGCATATAGCGGCTATCAAACACAAGTAGTACCACAGATAACCAATTTAGCAGGTGAAAGTGATTCAATGTTGAGCTTCTTTTTTGCATATTGCGCGTGTTTTCGTTTGTGATCGCACTGTGATTTCGGCATATGGGCTGGATACGTTGTAAAAAAAGGCCATTGTAATTTTTGTTCCATAGAATTTAATGCAAATTGGGCGAAACTTTTTTGCCACTATTGAAAATATGAGAAACATTCTCACGCTAAAGTTGTATAGATCTTTGAAACGATAAAGCTGGCATAATTGCATATTATATATTATAAAAATAGATTTTATGAAAAATTTGAACTCAGTGTTTAAACTACTATAAAATTTTAAAGTTCATCAGCGTGTGTGATTAATAGGAAATAGATTTTAAAGTAAAATGTTATGGTCTCATGTTAATTTTTCTAAGTTTTTATTTTAGTCTTAGATCGTTTCTTCTCTGCTCCATTCCTCTGCAACTTCTGCAATATTTATATTTTATTTGGGTAGCGGATTTCCATACGACTAAAAAACTGAACGGTGATGTGTCCGAATTTTTAATGACCTTTTCTGTTGCTATAATTAGGATAATGGCTATTGTGCACGATAATAAAAAAAAACTGGTGAAAGTACTGCTGCCAACATCGCCTTGGTGGTACATAGAAGGGCAACTGTATATTTCAGGCTTTTAAAACGCGGTGAAACAGTGAACGCAGATTGCTATTTTGCATAGCTCATTGGGTCAGTGGTTTGGGCAGGTACATAGCGCATAATTATCTTACGGCATGACAATGCTAGACTTTATATTGCTTCGGTAACTTGGAGAACTCTACAAACCAGTAACAAAAAATTTTTCGCCACGTATAACGCCAATGGGATTGTCAGCTACACCTGTTTAAATCAATTACGCCGTTGGGGTTGAAAAATTACCGGTTCAAAACAAAAAGCAGAAGTCCGAACATTGGTTCCTTTGAATCGGATGAATCCACTGATTGTCCAAGTATTATGGGAGGTAGGTCATTTATTTTTATTAATTAAAAAGATTAGTTACAAAAAGTTTTCGCCGGTGGTAGGCTGTTCGTCAGTAGTGAGCCGCGAAAACAAAACCATTTTCTGTTCGACTAAAAATAACATTATACCAAGTATTAGTAGACCTATAGTACATAGCCCATGTACTCCCATCCCTTCTTTATATTTTGTATACTTCTTAAATGAAAAATTTCCAGTAACTTGTCTTATCTTTCATCTTTTTTTTAACCTACTATATATATATATATATATATATATTTTTATTTTTATTTAATTTGTTTTAATTTTTTTATTTATTTTTTATTATTTATAATTTATTATATATAAACAAAATAGGTTTTTCGCTAAATTTTCTAGGTTAACAAAAAAAGGTGAAAGATAAGACAAGGCATAATAGTCGATATTTTTGTTAAAGCAACGTTCAAATTTTACAACCACTTCCGTCTATGGAATTGCCAAGCGCCATCTATCATTAAACCATGGTATTCCCGCCCATTAATTATGTTTTTTAACTTTAATTTACTTATTTTAGTTTATTCTCTAATATTATTATATTCTCTAATATTCATTTTCGAAGTCTTTTATTATTATTATCTATTATATTTTTACATATATTGCTGAACTGAGGGTACATAATATGAATAAATTTCGAAAGAGACGAAATTAAGCGAATGTTTGGTCACCACAATAACGATAGCAAACTGCTTTCCAATTCAATCGTTTTTTATTCTCATATATCAGTTTAAAAATTTTCTCCATATAT